TGGATTAATTCAAGATAAATGCAGAGCTTGTGGGGGACCCCATTCTACAATGGATTATGAATTGATGTGCAAGAGAGATCGAGATACAAAATAAATTTAACAACTAAAGCACGATCTCTACCAAATAGAACAAGTCCAATCTAAGAAAATATATGCTCTTGAGTCGATGCTATTTAGATTTATGGAAGCTTGTGAAAAGAGACATGATGCTACAGATGCAACACTTACAGAACAACAAGAATCTATCCACACACAAGTCCTGGAATTAACAAAGCTTGTGCAAGAAAAGCTATCGGATACACCTTCAAGAGAAGTCGAGCCAATCCCAATATCCTAAGTCATGGTTGTTTATACAGAAGACAATGAGGAATTGGTGCATATGTGGGTCCTTGATTCAATAGAAGAACAGTCTAATCAGTCACTCGAAGTAAAAGCTAAAGAAGAAGAAGAGTATCGTGAATCTACCCAGTCGCCACGATGTGGAGGCAATATTGCCACATCGTGGGCAATAAAAGAAATTACGATTTTTCATTCGCCGAGCCGTATCAACCACCTATTCCTTACCCATTTTGTTACAAGGAAAATATGGTGAAGCAAGGAAACGCAAAGTTCATGGAGCATAAAGAATCTAAAGAGAAATTAGAAGAAGAAGTGAATCATTCAAAACCTCCATTTTCAACGCTTATGATTTTTGAGGTGTTTGCTATTACAAGACCTCCAGATCAAACTTTAGAGTTGATTGAAGAAAAAGAGGAAGAGAGTGATGAGTCCAATTTTGAAAAGAAGAACCATGAGAGAGACAAGAGAAAAGATAAAGACACATGGATAAAGAAAGAACCTAAGCTAAAGCATAATTAAGATATCAAACTAAAAATTATAGAAAGTAGGGATGTAATTCAGGTCGAAATCGGACTGAACCGACCAGAACCAAAATAACTCGAAAACCGAATAAGGGTAATTGCATGAACCGATTAACCAATACAGGTTCGGTTCGGTTTAGGTATTAATCGATTCGGTTCAGTTATTACCCGAATAACATGTACAAGATGATTAAGGACCTAATATAATTGAAAAAAACCGAATAAAATGTATTAGGATTCTATAACTTGAATAACCCGAATAATAGAATAACAATGTGCTTTTATACATTAACACAAAACAATCAAAGTGTAACATCCCAAAAACAGATATAGTTCTCTGACCTTAATCTTTTATGTATTTGTCAAGACTAATCCTTATTGCGCAAAGGTGACAATAGAGTACGTGGGGTGTACACATGTGTACGCGCAACGTAATCATGCACTTTGCATGATCACGGAGTCCAAGTAGTACGTTGGGCGTACAAGGATCAGAGTAAAACCCTAATTCCCTCTTGTGCCCCTTTTTAAGGAACATGATGACCTCATTTCCATCCTCTAACCTCCCTCAAACCCTAAATTCGTGTTCCTTGCTTGCGTAAGTGTTTGTGGCTTATTTGAGTTTTCTTGTGAAGCTTTTGGTGAAGAAGGAGCTTTGTAGGAAGGATAGTTTGTGCTTCTAGCTCTTGGATCTAAACTTTACTCTTTTTGGTGCATCTTTTAGAGGTATTAAGTTCAAAACTTACTTATTGCTGTGTTAGTTCATGTTTCGGGTCCATTTTTAGGGTTTTATGTACCATGTTTGGAGCTTTGTGAGTTTGGTGAACTCCAAAGTGTATCTCTTGTCCTTTTAAGTGTATTTAGTTGTCTAGATTCATAAAAATGGGAGCTTGAACGTCTAAACCTCTCCATGCATGAGTTATGTTAACTTTTGTGTTGAGAAGGTTTAGAGTTTGTGAGTTTGGGACTTGTTCAGCCATGCTAAGGCTTAAAGTCCACGACTTGATGAAGTTATAGGACTTATTCAGCTCAGATATGTAGTTTGTGAGTGAGGAGTGGAAGTCTTGGGGGTACACTGTGCGTACCTCCAACTACACGCAACATAGCACTAAGATCAATGCACGCTCAACATAGAGGGCTGTACGCCAAGCATACTCGTTAGGTGTTGAGTTTTGTTGACTTTTACGCTTTTGGTCAATTTATGGACCTTTAGCCAAAGAAGGGCAAAATGGTCTTTTCACCCTCCTAAGATTTGTAGAGAGACTCAGTCTAGTATTTTGAGATTATTAGTATTAATTATTAATTAGAGTTGGATGTGACGTAATTAGCATAGGTGTCTAGACCGACAGTTCGGGGGCGAGATTGATTAATTTCCAGCGAGAGGGTGAGTTTTCTCATTATACTTACTTGTGTGGTAGATTTTGTGTGAGCAGAGGGTCTTAATTGTATTATTGACCAGAGGGTCTTATCTGTTTATGTGTTATTATGCATTCTGTATTTGTGACTTATGATGTTATATTATTCTGTGTATTTGTTGAGCTATGACCAGATGGTCCATACCGAGACTTGAGAGCAAAGGGTCTTCATTGAGATATATGACCGAAGGGTCCTTATCGAGATTTAGCCACAAAATGCTAATTATTTGTGTATGTGGTATTTTGGGGAACTCACTAAGCTTTATGCTTACAGTGTTGATTAAATGCGTTTCAGGTACATCTCAGGATCACGAGAAGGCATCGACATGATTGCACATACTAGCTTGATGATTAGGGTTTGTGTGGATTCTGGGATGCTTGACTTTATTTTCACTATTTTATATTTAAAATTTTCATTTTGGTACAGGTTGATGCTATAAACTCTGTTTTGTACAAGTTGGTATCAGAGCCTCAGTTTGAGGGATTCGGGCATGCCCTCGTGTATGTCGTAACTCAAACTAAGGAGTTGATAACTTTCCAAAAGAAATTACTTTCTTAAAAGATTTTTCAAAAGTGTAAAGGATTTTAAGAGAAAAGTAGGTCGGAGCAGTGTGTAGAATCAGCCAAAGCTCGAGCAGTGATTTCCCAAAATACCCTTACTTGATTATGTTATGAGAATGAGTTATTCCCAAGTTGTTAGAACCACATGCTAGATAGTAGGCTAGGTATCTCCATGATTATGAGCTAGAGTTGCTTGATTTTTGATGCCTTAGCCTTTGAATTCATTTCTTTGATTGAACCCATCCTTGCTAATTGCTCTAGGTATGTTGCTTAGTCATACATGGTTAAGATTTTATAGCCTTAGAATGCATGATTTAGCTTTTCTTCATATTCCTTGTTTGGTTGTGGACTAGAGGAAGAATCATTTATTTGATTGTCTATTGATCCCTATATCATGTACGATTGGTATGTGTGGAGCGGATGGCGAGGATGGTGGAGATCCTTGCGAGGTGATTGGCATTGAGGAATAGTCTAGGTTGAGTACCTATATATCTATTTAAGAAGTCCGTTGAGGGATTACTTAGATATCATTATGGGACAGAGTAGTTGTAACTTAGGGTCTTAAGAGGACGACTTGGGACAAATATGGGTTGGTGTGGAAGGTAGTTGGGTCGTACTACTAAAAGCATCAGATCCGTACACGACTCAAGAAGGAATCTTAGGATGATAAGGAGCTTGCAAGGACGTATGAGTATTGTGTGTGTGTGTGTGTGTTTTAGCTTGTCCTTGATGATTTATGTGTTTATGTTTCAGAAAGAATATGGTGGTTACCCGATATTTAGGCTCCAGCAACCCCGAGAGGCTGGGTACCAGTGACGATGAGATCCGCAAGATCATTGCTGATGAGGTGGCCACAACAATTAGGGAGGCTATTCCAGAGATGTTCACGTCTATTAAGACAACATTGATCGAGACTTTTGATGAGCATTATGCGTCTAGCACTAAGGTTGCCGCTGCCGCAGCCACGACAGCCCTTGCAGCTGCGAGGCCTCAGGGAGGTGATTCCTTGATGTTCTGATAGTTCAACAACACGAAGACACCATAGTTCCCATGACCCATTTGCGCTAATAAGATGGATCTATGATGTTGAGGGATGTTTCTATACCTGATCATGTGCTGAGAACCTGAAGGTTTGATTTACGTAGAACCAGCTTCGCTTGGGAGCGAAGGACTGGTGGAAGTTTGTGACGACTGATTATTCTCCTACAAAGCATGATGCAGTGACTTGGGAGAGGTTCACCTAGCTATTTAAAGATGATTTTGATCCCTATGTGGAGAGGGAACGGTTGGTTTAGGAGTATTGGTCTCTCAAGCAGAAGACGGAAACGGTGACGAGACCACGGGGATGTTTCATGATAAGGCATTATTATACCCTGAGCACGTATCTACAGAGTAGGCATGTGTGAGCAGGTACTTGAGAAATTTTAGGAGGGATATCAAGCTGGATTTTATGGATTTCATGGCGAACTTATCATATAGGACATTGGTTGAGCTGCATACCAATGCCAGGTGGAGGGATATCAAGCTGGAGACGCAAACGAGGGAGGAGGGAGAGTCTCAAGGAAAAGACCAAAGACCAGTGTAGTCGCAGCCGGTGACCAAGTAGGCCAATCCCACTAATTTTAGAGCAGGAGGCCACAAGGGCCACACTTATGGCAAGTATGGTAAGACTCACGAAGGACCTTGCTAACCAAGGATTTGTTTCAAATACGGCAAGGAGGAGCATATGGAAAAGGATTGCCCCAAGGGATTTTTGGTTTGCTTTCATTGCAAACAAACTGACCAAAGGAAGGTTGAGTGTCCTCGGCTCACTCAGGGTTCAGTTCAAGCCCTTAATCCTACTACCTTGTATATTACTAATGGAAGGCCGAGGCTCTGAGAGCTCGTGGGAGAGCTTTTCAGTTGACTGCGGAGGAGGTTCGCACAACACCTAATGTTGTTATTGGTATGTATCTCTTATTTACATTGTTGATTTGAATTTTTTATGCTTATGTTGTGTTTCTTGTTCGGTACTTTTCTTATGAATTATGTGCCTGCTTTAGTGTTATTTGACTTGGCTGCGAGTCGATCCTTCTTGTCCTTATCCTTTAGTCGTTGTTTTAGCACCAGGTGTGAGGCCTTGAATCGGCCATTGAGTTTTTCGATATCTGATGAGCATGCGGTTTTTGCCACCAATGTCTTTTGTGATGGTGTTTTGTATATTTTTGGTGTCAAGTTTCCGATTGATCTAGTTGTCGCCAGCGATGGGGGATGTCTATGTTATAATAGGCATGGATTGGTTGAGCTGATTTGGGGTTTTGATTTATTGTGAGCGACAATTGGTGACGATTCAGGACTCTAGTGGGGGAGTGCTTACAATTTATGGTGAGGGTACTAGACAGGGATCAACTTTTTGCTTTGCCTCCAAGGCAAGGCAGAGTCTGCAACATGGATGTATGAGTTTCCTGACTTATGTGGTGGATACTTGGGTTGAAAAGAGGGGTCGATTTTTGTTTTTGATGTTCTGGTGGTATGTGATTTTCCTGATGTTTTCCCCGAGGAGGTACCGAGTGTGCCTCTTGAGAGGCATGTAGAGTTTCAGATCAACCTAGTTCTGGGGGCGACGCCTATCGTCAAGGCACCGTATCGTGTTGCACCACCCGAGATGCATGAATTATCCTCGCAGATTCATGAGTTGTTGGGGAAGGAATTCATTCGGCTGAGTAGTTCGTCGTGGGGAGCACCGATTCTTTGTGTCAAGAAGAAGGATGGTTCACACTGGATGTGCATCGATTACTAGGAGTTGAAAAAGTTAACGGTTAAGAAACGCTATCCATTGCGCAGGATCAACGATCTATTCGACCAATTGCAGGGGAACCTTGGTTTTCCAAGATCGACTTGAGATCTGGATATCATCAGATGAGGGTCCACAAGGAGGATATTCAGAAGATGGCCCTTTGGACTCATATGGGCATTACGAGTTTGTAGTGATGCTTTTCGGGCTCACCAACGCACCGATTGTGTTCATGGATCTCATGAACCAGGT